CTTTCCTGCTTATGAATTCATTAGTTTGTAAAAGTGGGATTTGGACTCAAAGATTAAAGGAACTGTTTTCAAGTTGGACCAACACACAAGAAGTTACTCCAACCTACTAACTTTCATGCAAGTTGACTGCAATACAGCAGCTCAGTATCATTTAACCTTTGAACTGTTCGTTATCCCTTTGCTTCTTCCAAATCAGGAAAGTGAATGAACTTTTTTCGGTTTTAAGACATTTTTTCTTTAGAGGAAAATAGCAAAGAGCTGCAGATTTGTCAATGTTTCCTAAATTTCCCCACTCGCCCAGCGGAACAGGATACAGCTCCCCTGGTGGAATCCTTATCCCACTGTCAACTAGAAAATCATTTATGATAAAGCACAACCTGCCATCTATTTCCACTGCATTGAGATTGTTAGCAGGAATACGGTTTTGCTCAACAACAAACCAGGTGTTCGTTTCCTCATTAAATATTTCCACAGGTGCTGGGGTACCGTATGGACTGAGACTGTTAAGAAGATTACAATCGCCCCCAGCAGCACAGAGTTTACGATTTACTTCAAAAAGCCTGGATCCAAAGTGAGGGTAACAGGTTGTTGCCTTTTCTTCCCACTCATTCTTAGCTGAGTCGAAACACTGTAGCACTGCCTGTTGATATTTTCTTCCTGCTTGGCGCATATCGCCACAGAGGACAAATATTGTTACCTTTGAGTGAACTATAGATCCAAAATTGTGGGCTGATAAGTACAATTTGCGTTCAGTTTTGCAATACTTTGCCACTGCCTTTTAGCAATGTTGTATCTTTGAGAAACCTGGCCTGAATAAGAGCTAATAGCATAAATATAGTCCCCTAAAACACACAGATTGTTAACTGAATATGTACCGGACGAAAACTACTTTATCTCCCAAACATTTCTCTCCGTGTCGTAGCGATAAAGGGAAATATCATAATCGTCGGCTGATCCTGCTACAAAGTCACAGCCAACAGAGACTGCAGAATCGCAACGACAGGCCTTGATTGACGGTACTGTCGATGGTAAAGATTTCCATGATTTGCTTTGGAAATCAAAATACTTCATTTGAGCATTGGGAAGAATTGCAATGAGAGCCTGAATGAAAGATGAACATCATCAATCAAATCTTCGACACTGGCCCGGCCCTCTGTTGGTTGTGACGATCAAGAAGGGGGACCAAAGAAACTTAGTCATTCCCCGGCACAGACTTTCTCACTCCATTGCCCGTCGCTCACCCGAATTTTTTTTTTTTTTTTCTTGTCCCACCAACCGAGTGCTTGACATAAGCTAGATCTCTATAAAGAAAAAAAAACAGACCCTTCTTACTTTGATCAGTAATTTGGGCAGTGTATCATTTTCTTTGCTTTAAAAGAACTACCCAGTTCGGGTACGGCCATGTTCTTACAGTTATGGTATATCAATTACTTAATGAATAAAAGTGAGCTGATAATATATAGATATTTATGTAAAGCGATCGTGAGTTGTTCAGTATGTTCTACAACGAAGCTGGTTATTTTGAACGAGAATCAGTGAAAAAACCATATACTTACTTGACTTGTTGATCTTGGTTTAGTTCTTTTCTCTGCAAACGCGGAGAAAGCAGAGGGCATGTTGTTATGGACTAATGCTTCATACACTTGTTTGTGAATCTCGAGATCTCTCTGGATCTCTTCAGTATTCAGTTCTTCAATCACAACTCTGATGTCCACCAGCCCT